ATATGAATTTGCATATTCTTCACAAACCTCTTTCAGCTCCGCTCTTTTCAAGTTAAGCTTGTCCATTTGCACAGCAAGTTCTGCCTCGGCACTTGCTAACTTCTCTTTCTTGGGACCAACCACCTATGAATTTAATACAGTGCTCAGATGTCAATCATTCAGAGCTGATACAAAAAACTGCCATGGGGGGAGAGGAGAGGAAGGATAGACCGTACCTTAGCCACTCTGTCGTACACTTCCATCGCAAGAATCCACTTACACAAACCTTCGCAAGCTGATGAAACACTTCTGATGACGTCAGGGTTGAAATCAGGATTGGTGACGTATCTATAAAACATTTCAAGGAACGTAAATACACACTATGTTATGTGATTATTTGTACGGTGTTGTTTTCTGCCTTCAATTCTTGGTGGGCTCATCACTATCATCACGATGTTTATCATCATCATTATCATCACCAATTTTCGCACTTATCGTACTAGCATCTGTAATTCATAATTTTTCTCTCTTGTCATTATACTAGTATATTTAACAAATTTACGATAGTTTCGCGTGGTATGCCCTCTTATTTACCACAGTTGGGTCATCGAATCGTCTGGATTGTTGTAGATCCACGAGACGAAGTCTGAACAAAAGCTTTAATTAGTTTATTTGTTCATTCTTTATTGAAGAAACAGTTCATTCATTTGTTCTGGTTGGGCGATAGTGACTAATAACTAACGACTATATAGTCACTAAAAACTTTGATGATATTTCACATACATATTGCGTGCACTCTATGTATGAGCATCTACCTAGTCAGGCATTGGTCATTCCTTTTTAATTATAAGGTCCTAAAAATCCTCGTTTACTCTATTTATCTCTATTTCGCGAATAATTTAAAGGAAACAAATTCCACTCTGTCTTATGTCCTAGTACTCTAGATCTCTACGTTCCTATCCTGTCTCTTATGCCTGAGTCACATGCAGTCCTAGACTGCGTATATTTTTAAATTGAGCTCATTAAAACCTTTCACTTGTTCGCCCAATCATGTATTACAGATGTCTTTCTCAATGTTCAAAAATAGCTCGCCCGAGTTGACGCTCTAAGAGGGTCTAGTTACTTTCGATGTAAATAATCTACAGGCATGCAGTTCAATTATAGAAACTGATAAATCACTAAGTGACTTAAAATCACATGATAATGTGTAATACAACGAAATGATCGTAAAAGAAAAAAGTACAAAATAAGACTAATAAATTGTAGTACGCTAAAGTGTAACTCACATGATTATTAGATGTACAAAATCTAAGTAGTGCTAATTTGTATTAAAAGAGGAGCTGAAGAAAGACGCGGGTATTGAATGTTTCGTTTGTATCATTTATATCATAATAATAATTAAAAATAACTTGGAAAATAGAAATATTGCCTGATCCATGTTTTTCCGTTTTTTGTGATTGCTACTTATAAATCTATGTTAAGGTTACTTAAATTTTTCAGTTGTAATACAGCTTGATCAGTTATTTGATTATCGGACAAGTCCAACTGGGTGAGATGGCAGTTTTCACTTTTCAGTGCATCACTCAGGTGTAATACACCTTGATCAGATATTTCATTATAGGACAAGTTCAATTGGGTGAGATGGCAGTTTTCACTTTTGAGTGCATCACTCAGGTGTAATACACCTTGATCAGTTATTTGATTCCAGGACAAGCTCAACTGGGTGAGATGGCAGTTTTCACTTTTCAGTGCATCACTCAGGTGTAATACACCTTGATCAG